CACACATGAAAACTAAAAAAACTGTGCAGTATACTGTGTATATGTATCTACATGCCAAATAATGTGTATGTGCAGTCAAACTACAGTTCTACATAATAAAACTGGAAAAACAAAAAACAAAAAAGAAAGGAATGAAGTTTTCCTCATCTTAAAAACCATTTTAAGATGCATTTTTCCCATTATGCCATGTATAAGAGGTAATCAATAAACATTTATAAAGGGAAAAAAAGAATATTTTTCTTTCAAAAAGGGATTTCCACAGTACTTATGTTTGCCTGCCAAATTAAAACTTAATAGTTCATCTGGATCTATTTTTCCCTGGTTTAGAATTCAGGGGAAATTTACTACATGGATCTTAAAGAGGAAGACGTGTATAACCTGGTAGTCCAGTTCTTCAACCACATTTTGCAACAAACAAAAATGCACACAAAAAGTCGCACACAAATGTTCATAACAGCCTTATTCATCATAGACAAAAAAGCATAAACAATCCAAATGCCCATTAAATACTGAATAGATAAATGAAAAGTGGTATATCCATACAATGAAATATTATTCAGCCATTAAAAAAGAACTGTGTTGGTTTATTTTATGTGTCAACTTGGCTGGGCCACAGTGCCCAGATATTTGGTCAAACATGATTATGAATTTTCTGTGAGGGTATTTTGGCAAGAGATTAACATTTAAATTAGTGGATTTTGAGTAAAGCAGACTGCCCTTCTATCATGTGTGTGGGCTTAAGCCAATCAGTTGAAGACTTGAATAGAACAAAAGAATGACATCCCCTGAGCTGGAGAGAACTCTGCCGGCAGACAGCCTCTGGACCTGAATGGCAACATTGGCTCTTTCTGGGTCTCCAGCCTGCTGACCCGTCCTGCAGGTTTTGAACTTGCCAGCTTCCATAATTATGTGGGTCAATTCCTTAAAAGTGTGTATGTGTGTATTCACATCCAATTAGTTCTGTTCCTCTGGAGGACTCTAACTAATATAGGAATGAAGTACTGATCACAAAATGAGTGGATCTTGAAAACACAGTAACTGAAAAGAAGCCAGAGGCAAAAGACCACATATGGTATGATTTGATTTATATGAAATGTCCAGAATGGGCAAATCCATCGAGACAGAAAGTAGATGAGTGGTTTACAGAGGTTGGGGAAAGAATTAATATGGAAAATTTGGGGGGGGGTAGAAATAACGGACATGTTCTAGAATTCAGGAATGGGGATAGCCATCCAACCTTGTCAATATACTAAAAACTATTGAGCTGTGTACTTGAAAATTATTTTATGGCATGTGAATTGTATCTCAATTTTTTAATTAAAAAACATAGAAATGTAGTCCAGATTATTATTTTGTATTGACCCTCTATAAATGGTGAAATTAATTCTTAACTTAGTAGACGTAGGAGGTTGAACTATGTCCCCGCGCTTAAAAAATATGCCCACCCAGAACCTCAGAATGTGATCTTATTTGGAGTAAGAGCCTTTGCAGGTATAATTAAGGTAAGAATCTTAAGATGTGATCAACACGGATTAGGGTGGACCCTAGATCCAATGATGGGCATTTGGATAAGACACAGAAAAAGAGAGACATACAGAAGGGGAGGTCCCATCAAAATGGAAACAGAGATCAGAATTATGCAGCTGCAAACCAAGGAGTGCAGGCAGCAACTGAAGCCAGGAAGAAGCATGAAATGGTTCTCCCTCAGATACTCCAGAAAGAACCAGCCCTATCAACTCCTTGATTTCAGACTTCCAGCTTCCAGAATTGTGAGAGAATAAATTTCTGCTGTAGTAAGCCACTTCATTTGTGGTAATTAGTTACAGCAGCCCTAGGAAACTAACACAAGAAGGCCATTTCTGCTAGTGTTCAGAAATGTTGCTTTATGAATAGCAAAATTAATTCAGGGACAAGCATAGGTAGTGTACAAAGATGGAGAGCTGATACCATCAGTCTGCCTCGAACATTAATATCCTATACCTCAAATAAAGCAAGACAAAGATATTTTGGAGGTAAAATCTTAATAAATCCATGAAGTGAGCATTTACTGTATTAGTAAGTTAGAGAGCTCTCTATTCCCTACAAGAAGGCAGACTTCGCATTCTATTTAAATGTTTAGAGGCCTGGGGTGGGGGAGGGTATAGCTCAGTGGCAGAGCACTGTGCTTAGCATGCACAAGGTCCTGGGTCCAATTTCTGGAATCTCCATTAAGAAATAAAAAAACAAACCTAATTACCTCCTCTAACCCCATCCCAAAAAAAACTTTTCTTAGTATGTTTAGCACCCTGCATAATCCCTGATTCGTCAAATCCAGTCTCTTCTATCCCTTAGCTGTAAAGTGTGTGGATCTCTTTATGCAAAATAAAACAACAAAGTAAACACACAAGCTAACGTCATTCACTTTCCTGTCTCCCCTCCCCTTTCCGTCTAGCCATCCCAGAGGAGCAGGACACCAGCTTTGTTTCCACTTCTCGTTCACTCCTCAGCCTACAGAAACTTGGCTTTCTCTCCGAGCCCTCACTCACTACCACCATGATCTGTGCGTGCTTGAGCCCGGATGTCCCAAAGCCAAACGCCGCCATAGTCCTTCAGTCTCTGTCTCACTGCTGTCCTTGATACTGCCGCTCAGAGCCTCATTCTGGAGACCTCCTGCTCTCCTTACATCTCTTTTCAGTCTCTCTCCTGACAATGTCACTTATCTTTTTGAAATTCTCTAGTGGCTCCCCAGGACCCAGAGGGTAAGTCCAAGCATCTCGGCACGCCCCACGAGGCCCTGCGTGATCTGGCCCCGTCCTCTGCCCAGCTCCCTCTCCCACGGCGGACTCCCAGAAATCATCACAGGGTCGGCAGCAGCCAACCAGAGCTTCCATTCACCCGCTTATTGCATTCAGTCATCACTCACGTTCCTTCTGCTCTCCGCCTCGTCTGTATTTCAGCAATTCCTGTTCCACCTCCACAATGTTTGCATATCCACACATCACCTACATGAACCACTTCCTTCTTTAACTCAACCACCTTTTTAACATAAAGAAATTTCATTAATTTAAAGGGCACTTTACAGGATTTCAATAGAATGTGACATGAAGGGGAAATAACAACGAAACGAACACCGTGTAATGAAAACAAAACAGCACTAGCGGGTACTATCGCTGGTACCCGGCAACGCGCTCAAGACTTACTCTTTGTTTAAAACGTAGACCAGCAAGTGTCCTAGAGGTCTAAGGACGTAATGGCCTCCAATTCAGGTTTTCTCCTCAATGGTGAAAGAATTCAAAGAAAAATTAAAGGCAACCCACTTTTCACTTCAGGACTGAACATTATATATAACACCTTGTCGCGCACCGCCTAGAAACATCGTGTGTACACCAGGGGCACGTGCCCCCCACTTGAAAACGCTGCTCCACGCCACTGATGCTGGAATCGGAGACTCGTAAGCCAGCCGCTAGGACTAGAACCATGCGTTGCATAATCACATCACCCAAAGAGCAAAACTTAACTATGAGAATCAGGCTTGCTTGTGAAAAGGTAAAATGGAAAGACCACTTGTAAATAATTAAAACAATTTGGGCGAAAAATGACGCAGATCTAAGTCGTGGAGACCAAACGGGAACAGACGCCACAGACACAGGACGTGACTTCCACCCGCCGCCGCCCGGCCTCTGCCCTCAGCTGTGGGTCCCTCTCACCCCAGCACCGCTTCTGGCCCACGGGGCTGCCTACGGCTGCTGTCATTACACTTAGCCTGGGTCCCGGCTTAGGTGATCTGCCCCACAGCCTCTGATGGAGGGTCACTGTGTCCCTCACTTGAGGGGGCCACCCCCACCTGCTCCCACAACATCTCCAGTGCACATCTTTAGCTACCTTCTGTATCCCCCGTGGGCGCCAGTGGAACTTCAGGCCTCAGGGAGTAAGCTGGAGGCCTCAGCACCTTCTGCAGCTCCTCCCAGTCGAGATGGGAGCTGTGGGCTGATGGCAGGGATTCTCCACCCCCCCCCACCACCACCCACCACACGCACACCCCAAAAGTCAGTCTCAAGGTGTGAGAGGGGTGTCAAGGATAACTACCTAGGATATTTTCTCCCCAGCCACAGCACCCCACCAGATGCTTTCCTTAGCTTCCCCTTTGCCTTGTATTCAAATATGCCCCCTCCCCGGGGCCACGTCTGCCCTCCCTTTCTCTTAGGGAAATAAGCCTCAATTTAGCGGCCTCATCCTGATGCCAGAAGGGCTTCGGGGCAAAAGAACCAATGACCAGGAAGGGAAAACCGAGTGGGAAATGTGCCCAGAATATTGTCCTGCTGCACAGATTCAGGTGCTGGTGGCTTTATTCCAGATTCCTTTTCCCAGCTTGTCTGTTTCCAGATGTGGAGAGTTTCATTCCAGAAGTCCACCTCAGAGCGCAAAGACATCACTGCCCTCAGGGTTCATGACGTGCGGGTCTGCCAGGGATGACATGTGCCTGTGAAGTTACATGCTGCTGCCCGTGGCATTTAAATATTTTTACTACATCCCAAGTTTTAATGTCATTGTTATTTGCATTCACTAGAGAATCACCTCGAATCCAGGACCACATCGCCCCAGCCTGCCTGCTCTCTTCACTATTTGGTGTAACACACCCCACAGCCCAACACACACCCTGTCGCCACCTGACTTCTCAGCGAACCCTTGTTCATTTTCTCTAAGCAACTCCCACGTGCCAATCCCTACCTAATCCCTAATATCATGGTCACCCACACTTTGAAGAAATGTTTTTATTTTCTGTACGTCACATCACCCTGCTTGACTTTTCACCCAGCAACTACGGCTTCACTTCAAATATTGAAGAGACACGAAATGGATCTACTCTGCCAATTTGGGTAATCTTTGCATTTTTCTCACAACTCTAGAAAAATCAGAGGAAGTTTTCAGCTTTTTTTTTTTTTCATAAGGCTGTCACTCTTTTGCATAAACTTTTCCAGAAACTCACAAACCACAACAAGGAAATACAGCTGAGCACTTGCCTTAAGCTCATTGGTGTCGGCCAGTTTGGCTTTGAGCTCAGTATTCAATCCTCGACACACACTCAGCTCCTGCTGCAGCCTCTCCACCTTCTTCTGCAACTTCCTGATGGTGAGATTGGCCTCGTCCCTCTCCACGGCCAAGGCCGAACGCCCCTGCTTCTCCTCCTCCAGCTGGGCTATTTTCTGCCGGAGGAGGTTCATGTGCAGCTCTTTGCTCTCCAGTCTTTCTTTCTGAGTCTTTAGCTGGTTTGATGCAAACAGGGATTTTTTTTAATAGTAATAATAATTGAACAGTTAGTAAATATAAATGAATTGCGCAGATAATGTTGATCTTTATCTCCACTTCAATCTCTAAACCATCAAATGAGGTTACTGGGTTCCTTTTCCTGATTGCATTTTTTCATCCCTCTTTTTCCAAGAATTAATTTGGTAGTTGCAAAGTATGAGACAAAAGAGCCACAGAAAATGTGCAAAGGCTTTCAACATCTGATTTCTTCCAACATTATGTGCATCAGAGTAAGACTGCAAAATTACTTTTAAAACTATTAAATGGGCTTATCGAGAGCAGAATATAATCCTCTTCCACAGCCCATGACAACTATACTTGCACTGGTCTTTTCAGAGAGAAGATAAAGTGCAAATTAGTAGTGAAAACCCAGACTAATTTAAATCCCTTAAAACCAGGCTGAGGAGCACCAAACATGGGAGTTGATAGAGTTTTAAAGTAAGTTATACCAATGAGATTTTTACGATGCTTTGCTTATATACTGAAAACCTTAGAAGCAGAAGGGCCATCAAGAAGGTGTTAGTTCATTGGTGTCTTTATTACACGCTGGACCTACACCATCCACAAACCAGCCGGAACAGGGGCTGCAAACAACACTTACCATCGTCAGTCCAACTTGAGGAAGGAAATAATAATGGTTTTGAGAAAACCATTATGGGCCCTACGAGGAGAAAAAAATCCCCCTGGGCTTCACATGTCACAACGAACGAGTGGAATATTAAGTACAGGAACCTCTTTCATCTGTTACAAACACTGGGAACCAGAATCACGTAGAATTATGGAGTGTTCGAGCTGAAGACCAGCACATTTTCCCTAATTACATACTCGGCATTTGTAAAGTGTACCGAGGTGTGAAGGACTTACTGAGATGCGGGCTTAAGCATCTTGACTAACGGTGACAGCAGTGCCCACCCCCTGCATCCTCTTTTAACAAGTCCCTTTTAGTATTTCTCTACCTAAACTCCCTCCCCTGAGCTTCCTCATGTCAAACTCCACTCTGTTGCAAATTCACCCTGGTAAGTCCCGCACACTGGTCATTTTCATAACGACACAGTACTTAAGAAGGAATGGTGCTGTATGCTGTACATCAGAAACTGACACATTATAACTGACTATACTTCAGTTAAAAAAAAAAAAGAAGGAATGGTGTTGGACACTGAGAAGAAAACATCAATTATCTGAAGAAAAGTTTAGAAAAAATTGTCGCTCAATTTGATGTCTTGGATGGTAACAGAGGTTGTCTGCTTTCTTTTATAAAATATTCCTGAAGATACAGTAAATGAAGAAGAGGTCAAATGGGAATAAAGCATCTTCTATGAACCAAGAGTTCAAAACAGTTCTTTATTAAAAATTAACAACCTCCTGAGGCAGGTATCACTCCCCCCTTAAATATGAGCAAACAAAGACAGAGACGTCTATCATTTGCCCAGTGTCACACAGCTTGGTGGAGCTAAACTTAGAACCCAGATGTGACTCATTACATAGCCTATGCGCTATAATTCTACCATTGAATTTTCTCCTAAGAACTATTATAAGAAAACATCTGTGTTTTCCTTTTTCTTTCCCCAGTGCCAATAATTATATAACTAATAATTACGTTTTTATCCTTTTCATCCATTCATTCATTTATTTAGTCTAAACTGTTTCTAACTCTTCCTTTGAGTCAGGGAAAAGTAAGCCCTTCTCCTCTCTCTCCTTTCTAGTGCAAGAGAGCTTATACAAAGGCAAGACTGCTAGATGCTCCCCAGCTCTCCTCTTGTCCAACAGTAACAGACACAGTGACTTTTGGCCAGGCAAACGCTACCCAGAGTAAGTAAGACGGGAGTTGCAAGCCTCCCTTGCAGCTAGGTGTAGCCATCAGAACATATTCTGGCCATGAGATAGAAACACAAGTTCACACAGAAAATTCTGGGAGCTTCCATTAAAAGCTCATGCATGCTCTTTTTGCCTCCCTCTTCTTCATCCTTCCTTCTTTAAGCTTCTGCCTGGAACACAGATATAACGGTTCTAGGCTCCAAGGTGAGCCATGAA